AGGGTGTCTCTGGAGGACCGTTCTTCATTTCTCCCTAAAACTGAAAGATAAAGGGTAAAGTGGGGAGTAGAGAGATGAGGTAGAGTGAGCCTGTACCTGATCACACAAGACCTTGCAAGTTGTAGTGAAGTGCTCAGATGCCCTTACACAGGATAAAGAGGTAATCAATTTTGTCTTAAGAAGATCATACTGCCTGCAGTGTGATAGATCAGAGTACATGGAATGAAAAGTAGGTTGAGAGACCTGCTGGAGGCTGAGGTGACATCATCATAGTGCCAGGTGTACAACCAGCTGTGCAACACGTAGGACTCAAAGCATCAGGACTTTATCTGTAAATGAACAGTTCGGTTTAGCTGGGTGAGATAACACCTCTAATCTCAGCACCGAGGAGGCTGAAGCAGAAGGATCTTGAGTTTGAGGCTAGCTGAGCCGTGTGGTAAGACAGTATCCAGACAAGCGGGAAGTGGGGGTATTAATAGCTGAAGTCAGCGGTAAAAAATTATGGACTGGGTGTCAGAGTTACCTATCAGAAGGGAGTAGCCATAAATGCCCTTACCTGGTGGCTCATGGGCTTCAGAGGAATAACTGACATTTTCTCAAATGGTTGACTATTGGGAGTTAGGGATCAGGATTTGGAATACTGGGCCATCTCTTCTTTGGCTGTGTCTCTACAACACACAAAGGTTGAGGCCATCTGGTGGCATAAATACCCAGCCTTCCACTCTGTGACTCTGAATAAGACTGAAAACAGAAGACGGTGGGTGCATTCCAAATTGCCCAGACTCACCCTTCTTTAGTGCTAAACTAAACTATCTTTTTTTGTTTGTTTGTTTGGGACCCGTGGGGGTGGAGGGGATGGGGAGGGTGGTGTTACGTGTTTGCTTGTCTCTCCTGTGCTGAGCATGGATGTAGATATGAACACACAACATTCAAAATATCCTATGGACTTTGTACAAAAGCAAGTTGTTTTGAGAAGATGGTGGTGGTTCTGCTCAGAGGATAGTGTTGTGCAACCCAAGTGCTTAGCACACTCGTTTGTAGAAACACTTGGAAAATATTGTGTTTGTAGAGACACAGTGCTTGGGTAAAGCCTCTCCCTGCTAGTGGTAGACCTTGGAGGTTGTTGTATTCATAAAAGATGAGTGTCTGGGACACAGATTGTTCAAGAGATGACTCTTGGCAAGGAATCATTTTGAGAGCCACTATCAGGGTCTCACCATGTCCTGGGCCCAAACGAGTAACTACAACAGATATCACGATAAGAAAATACCTTGATTCCTATAACTGAAAGGGCAGGTGTGGGTGCCGAGGAGACTGGTCTTCCCTGAGGGCTTTGTCAGGTGATGCCACCAAAGAGAAACTAAGAAGCATAACATTTTAGAAGAGATACCCTAGAACTGATGCTCCATGAGCTTGAGATTGGAGTGGACTTGGGTCCCTTTTTCAAATTTAGTTCTTAGGTCCTATCAACCCAAAACACAGCATTCCTCTCAAAAGGAATAAGACATAATTTTTTCTTAAGCAAAATGTGAGTGACTATAGCCTAGGAACATGTATTCCGGTTGCCTCAAGAGACATATTCTAGCATGGAAGTGGTTACAAGAGATTTTATTAAAGGATAGAGAAAGTCAAAATTAAAGCATTAACCAAATACATTAATAGGGCTACTACTGGTAGGTAAATTATATCAAAGAAGGGAAAATTCAGCTATGTATTTAGATACTCTCTGGTGACATTCTTAGCTTTTGGGTGGGTGAAAGCTAGAGGGCCACAAAAATACATTTTTCAAGGTTTATCTGATGGTCAAAAGGATGTTAGGTTAGACAGGAGTTGGCAATGAGTGCCTGTTAAGGAAGGGCTAAAAACAGCCCTGAATTTGTGGTTCAAAATCTTGGCAATCACCAAGTCCTAGTTGAGTTTTCAACCTTGCACACACATCTTCAACACAGGCATGGCCTTTTCTTGCTGTGCCTCCCTGCCCCCAGAACTTTAGAGTTCTACATCTCAGTAGTTAAACTTGGCATGCAACTAAATGAATACTCAATAATTCTCAACCTGTAGGTTGCAACCCATATCAGATATCCTGTGTATCAGACACTTACATCGCGATTCTTAACCGTAGCAAAATTACAATTATTAAGTAGCGATGAAAATAATTTTATGGTTGAAGTCACCACAGCATGAGGAACTGTATTAAAGGGTCGCAGTATTAGGAAGGTTGAGAACCACTGCACTAAGGTTTCAATATCGCACAGTAAGCACAGACAGGCTGTTGGGAAAGGATACCATTCATTCATTCTCTTGCTCAGTACACATTGAGCTCCCATTCTGATTATGAATATCCTTCTCTGTGTCAAGTCCTAGACACACAGAACTGAAGCAGGCTTAGTCCCTGCTCTAGGAGCTCTGTAGGGAGACAGATACATCAGCTAGCGACGTGGGGAGGTGAAGAAAACCCCAGTGTATCGGAGGCCATACAAATACTTCTCAGTTTACACTGCTTCTGTTTCTTTTCTGTTAGAGTTCTCTCCTTCACCAGAAATTCTGACTGATGCCTGTCAGTTCTGTTTGGCCATTAGAACCATTTGGAAAGGCTTGGCAAGTTTGTTTTCCATTGAGACTTGGGAACAGAGTATGGTACCGTGACAGAGCCTCTTCCACTTGCTGAACTGGGGCCCCGACACAACTCAGGCAACACTCACAGGCCTTGCCCTCACTGGTGAAGAGTTTGTTCCATGACTTACTTTTCATGGGAACTTAGTTTTTGTAATTGGAGGGCATTGCAGGTTTGAGGAGTCATTTGGATGTGTTTTGAGCCCCTTTTGTTAGAAGATGGGAAGCAAGACCCAAGGGAGCCGCTCATGGAGGAGGCTTCACCACTGGGTCCAAGTGACTGGTTCAGGGCTTGAGGGGAAACCGACATAGATTATCTAAGCTGTGCAGAAAGGCTTCTTTCTCTACTCTGAATGGGACCCAGGTCTGCTTTGGCTCTGCAGGGGTTAGATATTTGGGAGAATGGAGTGACAGAGGCACTGGTTATTTTATGATTAATGGGCAATAGATTCTGTGAGTTTTGAGCAGCAGTATGGATGGTTGACTTGGGCTCTGAACAAATGGGAAGCACCCCCCCACACACTCCCAATTTTTTTTGATGCTGTTATGGAAAGAGCAGCTCAAGTCAGTGAATATGCACGTTGACAGCAAATAGGACTAAAATGGGCAGAGGTGATCGCAGACGGCCTGAACCAAGCAGCTAAGTAGCTCTGTAAAATGTCAGCATAACTGAAGCAAACATTTGCTGGGTCAAACTCCAGGACCCAGACACTGAGAACCAGCAGCCCCAAACCTCATAAGCAAGATGGAAAGGAGAAAGGCATTGCTTTGTCTTTTTCTTCACTTACCGAATCCTTTTACCCCCAGGACCTAGTTAGCAACGTTTCTTCATGTGAAAACTACCTTATCTACATTAGAACAGAAAGAGAAACAGAAATTTCATTCTGAAATTAGTATGAAAATTTGTTGAAAACAGGAAAGAGATAATAACTCATGGTGGAATCCTCCCATACTGAGTGTTCAACTAAGGAGTAAAGACCAGCTTTCCCTCTTTCTTGGCTCTCCTTTTATCCCTCTCTCCCTTTATGTCTCCCCCTTCCGTCTCTTTCTCAAACAAAAAGGCTGTTTCGAGTATTTTATGGGAAGCAGGCTTGGATTCCAAAATGTTTTCCTCAGGGCAGAAGCACCCTGGACTACCCAGGGCTTGCTCTCTTTTTTTTCCCCTCACGACAACTCTGTAGTAAGAACTATGATTTCCATTATCCCTCGCCAGAGGGAACATTTTGGTGGGGAGCAAACAGTGGCAGTTAAACACTGATACACATACTCTGAGGCGTTTAGATTGCTCCCTTACCGAGGATCCTACTCTGTATTGGGAACAAATGGCTAATAGTGGCTGCACATTATGGTTCTCCAAGGAGCTTTACATACAAGCCAAAGGATTCCTTAGATCAGTTAGCATAGAACATAAGCGCTACACAATACGGGTCCATAGTGTGAACCCCGCCTCACCCACTTGGCGGCTGTATGAAGCTGTACTGAATTTTTCTGCTCCCCTGTTTTCCTGTTTGCAAAACAAAACTAGTAACAACTCTGGAGGGATGTTCTAAGGATACAATGAGTTGATAGGAGCCAACCTCGTAGAGACGGTCACATGGCTATAGCTACTTAAAATCCTGTCATACACACGAGAGAGCACTTCAAAGTGTTTAAAAGCCTGTATTACTCTTCCAGAGGACCAGAGTTCTATCCCCAGCACCCAAGTCAAGTTGCTCACAACCACCTGTAACTCTAGCTGTGGGGATCCGACGCTTCTGGCTTCTGTGACCACCCACACACGTTGCATACACACGATTAAAAGTAAGTACGGGCTGGAGAGACGGCTTAGAGGTTAAGAGCACACACTGGTTGCTCTTCCAGAGGTCCTGAGTTTAATTCCCAACAACCACACGGTAACTCACAACCATCTATAATGGGATCTGGTGCCCTCTTCTGTCTTGCATGCATACAGAACACTATGTACATAATAAATAAATAAATAAATCTTAAAATAAGTATTTACTAAGTAAATCACGAAAACTAAGTCTGTACATCAGTGTTTAGAAGTACTTCCCAAGCATAAAGCACAGCTTGTGTTTTCTATCTCTGAGAGCGTCTCTTTTGGAATCCTGCCTCCGGAAAATTTGACATCAATCAAAGAAGGGGAGTTTGTACTGTGTGTCTCCTACTTCGTTTCCTTGGACCCCTTCAAAACTTGTTACCTGGTCCATGGGGACCATTGGGCCCGAGGGCGGAGGCTTTTGTGCTTAGCCTCCTGGGAGTTGTAGTTTCCCTGGGTTCTAGCGCGTGCTCTGCCCGCAGTCTGGGTACTACAAAACCCACAAGCCCTCGCGGCACCGCCCGCCTCCGCCCGCGCTCCTCCGCCAGCTCGCAGCCCCGCCCCTCGGTCCAGGCGGAGGCGCGATGGCCGACCGCGGCGGCCCTTCCGAAGCGCCCAGCCCGCGGGGCTCTCCCCGGCCGGAGCCTCGGGCCCCGCGCGCAGCCGGGCCGGGCGAGACCCCGCGAACCGCGGCGCTGGCGCTGCGCTTCGATAAGCCCATCAAACAGGCTTTCTACAACACGGGCGCGGTGCTGTTCGTGTGCCTGTGCTGCGGGGCGGCGGTGCTCGTGTACTTCATCCTCGAGGCCTTCCTGCGGCCGCTGCTCTGGGCCGTGCTGTGCGGCACCTTCCTGCACCCGTTCAAGAGCTCGCTCACGCGCCTGGGCCGCCTGTGGCTGCGGCGCCTGCACCGCGCGCACACGCCCATCGTGCTGGCCGCGCTGCTGCTGCCGCTCTGCTTCGCCGACTACGGCGTCGAGGCCCTGGGCGAGCAGGCGCTGCGCCGCCGCCGCCTGCTGCTGCTGCTGGGCGCGGGTGGCCCTCTGCTCTACGGTCTCTACTGCCTGGGCAGCTACCTGGGCGTACAGGTGCTGCTGGCGCACGCGGGCGCGCTCATCTGCCGCGGCCTCGACTACTTCAGCAGCCTGTGGGTGAGTGCGTGCCGGGGGGCGGCGGGGGGGGGTGGTGGTTGGCGGGACCCGGGACGCCCGCGACCAGGAGGCCAAAGGTCCTCACCCGTGCTCCAGTGAGCGCGGGTGACCGCCCTCCTTCCCACGCCCGGGGAACTTGGCGCGCTTCCTTCTAGAGAAGCGGGTGTGATTTGAAACCGGCCCTCTTGTAGGGAAAAGGGCCCTTGGCTGAGACGTGCTGACCCACTTTGCACATCTGGCAGGCACATCAGGGTGTCAGATTTCGAGTCCAACTCGCCTTTGTACTGACTTCTTACCAGGCTAGGGGTTAATTAGAACTGGTTAACTCGAATTTCTCAAGCTCTCAAGCTAAAGGTTTCGTTTCATGCCGGTGATGTCCCAGAGTTCAGTTCTTTCACTATATATAGTTCGTGTGTGACTCTGGGTGCTTTTCTATGACTACTGCATTTATTATGTGTGGACCTTTGCACATCCCTTCTGGTCTAGGTTAGCAGTGGACCGGTAAAGAGAGGTAGGTCATGGTTGAATCGCCCAAGTGGCATGCTTAGGGAATTGAGGAACTTCCGAATTGAAAGGAATTTCAAGGATACTCTTAGAGACACATTTCCTGACTCAGACTACATCACAGGCCAGTTTGTCCACATATTTATTGGGCAATGTTAAAATGAAGTGGTTATTTAATGGTTAAGAATGTTAAGAATGTGGATCGATAAACTACCACAGGGGTTAAGAATGTATTGCAGGGATAGAGAAGATCCTAGAGTGCATGAGGCCCTGTGTGTACACACCTCACACAATTTCACTTTTATTCACTTCATTTGTTAATGAAATAAAGTTAATATGCCCTGACATTATTAAGTTACAAATATGTAGTTGCCTTTATTTGTTAAGCAGATTTCAACTTGCCAAAGGGTGTTGGTAGAATGCTAATTGATCCCAGGACCACCAGTTCACCTCTTGGTTCAAGTGTAAAGTTGATTGAACACAGGGTTAGGTACCCTGTCTTCAGGGTACATATAATTGTATATGAGCACATTATTTTTTTTGGTGCTGGGGGTTGAACCCAGGGCTTCATGTGTGCTACAGAGTTATACCTTCAGACTCACAAATTAGCAATTCCCATTGGAACACACATACGCAGAAGTGGGTGTACATTCTCACAGTTATGGGCCACAAGGATCAGACAGTGTGACTGCCTTAAAGATAGGTATGCAGTGGACAAATTTGTGGTAGACTTCTTACAAGTTGTGCTGGGGACCAAACCCAAGTGTTATTGAGCTCTAGGCAAGACTCAGATACTGATCTGTACCTCTAGCCCCATGGTTCACTCTTCAGTTAAATTCAGGGCTTGGAGAGATGACGCAGAGGTTGACCACTTGCTGCTCTTTCGCATGACCTGAATTCCTTCCCAGCAGCCATTTGGTCATTGACAACCTCCTGTAACTCTTTAACTCCAAGGATCCCAGTATCTTCTTCTGATTTCTGTAAGTACCTGCATACACACGGCTGTTTCTTATGTACACAAACATAAAAGTAATAAAAGTCAGTCTTTAGGAACAGCTTGAAAAAGCCTGGCGCACGCCTTTAATCCCAGCACTCAGGAGGCAGAGCAGGTAGATAGATCTCTGTGAGTTTGAGGACAGCCTGGGCTACAGAGTGAGTTCCAGGACAGCCAGGGCTACACACAGAAACCCTGTCTGGGGGGTGGGGGGAGAAAGCTTTTAAAAAAGACGCTAAAATTAGTGCCCCTTTGTTAAAAACAAGTCAGCTACATGGATTAAATTCCTCATATAAAAGACCATTATGTACCTATAAGAAAAGTCCTCAAGAAATTCAGACACGATTACAGATTTTGTAATATTTCAACTGTTGACAGGTGTCATCCATTGAATTCTAGGAAATGAGAAAGGAAAGGCCTACCTTATATGAATAGTGTGTGTTTTCACCTGGAGTAAGAGGTGACGATGCTCAGGTGTAAATTGGCAAGGAGGAGAGGAGGCGGGGCATTTCTGCATGTCCCTCAGAGACTGGACTTGAGGAACTGAGCTCTCGCGAAGATGTGTGTGAAACTCAGTGTATGTACCATTGAGGAGCCTTACTGAGGATACCCTTCATGTTTGTACTTACATGTGTTGAATTTGGGAGTTGGCAGTCAGAAAATCAGATCCAGGCTTTTTGCTTTTTAGGGGTTCTGTGAGTTGGACTCAGGCTCTTCTTATATGTGCCAATAACATGGTTTACTACTGGTCTACACGCACAGCCCTTTAATAAATGCTACTGAAAGGCTCCTAACTCAGCTGGTCACAGTGACGAGAGAAAGGTAGATGAGAAGGGAGATAAAAAATACAACAAGCACACCAGGCGGTGGTGGCGCACGCCTTTAATCCCAGGACTCGGGAGGCAGAGGCAGGTGGATCTCTGAGAGTTCGAGGCCAGCCTGGTCTACAGAGCGAGCTCCAGGACAGGTACCAAAACTACACAGAGAAACCTTGTCTTGAAAAACAAAAAAACCAAAACCAAAACAAAACAAAACAAAAAAAAAAAAAGAAGAAGAAGAAAAAAAGAAAGACAACAAAAATCACAACAAGCCCATTATAAAAGAAATTTATGATTGAATTACAAGAGTGTGGTACTCTAAAGCTGAGTGCTTTCCAGTTGATTGCAATTGGAGAAAAACAAGAGTCAGCTGAGTTTTGCCAAACTTTATCAGATAGGGGCAGGAAGTGGCGTGAAGCGAAGCGTGTTAGCCTTCACCCGACAGCACCGGTTGAGGCTTACCATGTGCCCTGGGCAGGGGCCTACTGTACGTTTTCTGTCATAGACCACAGTGTGTGGGTTGTGTGCCCAGGCAGGGCTGCCTGATCCAAAACAGCAGCTGTCATGCTTTTAGACAACTTGTAGATGTGAGCCTGCCTGAGGGAGGCCGAGAGAAGTACCATGTGAGCTGACACACATTCAGTGACCTGATGATTCATACCGTCAAGATCCACCTTTGTATTAGGCCCTGGACTGGCTTCTAACACTGCTACAGTTGCCTTGTTAGGGCAGTCCCGTCCAGTAGGAGGAAGAGATTTCATATCTGAAAAAATGAGAGAGTGATCCGTTCATACTCTCAACCTGTTGCTGACAGGCAAAGATCGGCTGTCATCAGAACTCCCTGGTTCCCTTCAGTAAGGGCGAAGAAACGCTCTCCAAGCACGTGTCTGAATCTTTAATTTAGAAAGCTAAACTGACTTCAGTTAAAAGGAAAAAAATCTAAAGAATATCAAAATTGGTCTAGTCCCAGCTATTCCCCTGGACTCTGCTTCTTTAGAAACCCATGTTGTCTGTTTACCCTGCTGTCTGTGCAGTGTTTCAGGTCCTGGGGGGTTTTCCTTTCTCTTTCTACCTCTGTTCATTTTCTTTTGTTACCGTTTACCCTCAATGGTTTCTTCTTCTCTGTCCCACTCCGGATTACTTAAGCTCTTCTCTCTACTCTGGTTCCCTCCAACTCTGTGTCCTGGTTACAAGTGAACGATACTCCTTCATGCTGCCAGCAGACCTTTTTCAACAGTTTCAAATGTGTTAGAATACTGACTTAGTCATTTCAGAAGGCTTAAGAAGAAGATTCATCTGATGCTCCATGCCCACTGAAACTCTTTGGGTGCTGTGGGGCTGGCTGTGCAGGATAAGTCTAGTAGTGTCCCTGCTTCACCTCTTCTCTGCTGAGAATGTTTTGTTCCCTCTTCCCCTTTGTTCAGACTTGTTGGTGGAGGGGGAAGGCCATCTCCAGTTTGCGCAGCAACGGTAGGTTTGATTTTTCCCTGGCCTGCCTCATTTTTATAAAGAAGTAGCATTGGAAACAGTGAGGGCTGAAGGATTAGAAGACCTTGAGGTATAAACTTGGCTGTAGCAGTAACTTGCTTTGTGACCTGTGACCAGCGCCTTACTCTGGGCCACTTAACCCTTCGTAGCTGTGCAAAATGAAGGGTTGGCTTGGGTGACGCCTCAGTCTCCTTGAGGTCTTGGTTCAGGGTCACAAGAAACCCTAGGAAATGCACCCTGGCCAGCCTTGCAGGTCTACACCATTCCACTTGGAAGCCCTTGTGAGGCCTGTTGCTGCTTACCTGGCAGCAGCTTAGAGGAAGTTCTTTCACAATTAAAGATTTGCTAAAGATTTGCCTATAAGAACTCCTGACTCCACGGACCATATGACAAAGAGAACAGTTTCAAAGTAGGAGAAAGCTTGCAGGAGAAGGAAGTACTTGAAGCAGTTGCTGCTCCAGCAGCGATTTTAGGGGAAGTCTGCTGCCTTCTGTCTGAGAGACTTAGGAAAGGGGGCCAGGAAGATGGCTCGGTGGAGAAAGTGCTTGAGAACCTGAGTGTGACCCTCAGACTGCAAACAGAAGCCAGCTGTGGTGGTGCATGGGCAGGAGATGGAGACTGATGGAGCCTGGTGGCTTGCTCCAGGTTCTGTGAAAGACCCGTCTCAGAAAAACAAAAGGGGGAAGAAGAAGAAAGAAAAATTGGAGAAATGATTGAGGCAGACATCCTAGATCCAGCCTTTGTTCTCACGTGGGCAGGTGGGCCTGCATGCACACATGCACTTTAACCCACTGAGCACTTACTGTGTTATTTAACGGAAAAGTATGCCATGGGTGGTTAATTGTGTCTCGTGAAAGGAAAACGTGATTGCCTTCCTTGGAGAGCTAAGTAAATGCTGCTAAATTTGATGCAGTCTTATATAATGTCTAGCTAGAAGATGATTGGATTATGTATTTTGGAAAGGACATAGAATATTTAAGAGGATAAATGTGGTAAGTATGCCCTCGGGTCAACTGTGGTTCAGTGATTTATGCCTGGGAGAAAAATCCCACACAAACAGGTTCGGTCGTAAGACTAAATGGATTTGAAGTTGACTTCTGGGCTAGGGAATAAAACACTGTTACCAGGCATGGTGGCTCTGTAATCCTAGTGTTTGGGGAGCCCAGACAGGAGGATTGTGAATTTGAGGTGTGCAT